AGGAAGGGTATCTCCTATATGTGTGTGGGGGGAGGGGGGGAGAGGGTGTGGCCTGGGTCATGGTTCCTGGCCTCCCCTCGAAGGGTGCGGGGCATTTCCTCCAGGAGTGACTCAGTGATTCTTGGCCCTGGTGTCTCCTGGTAGGGGGTAGACTGTGCTGCCAGGACCTGGGGGTGTTCCCAGTAGGGCTGCAGCGGCAGGGCCAGTGGGCAGGGGGCTCCCCCCTTCTACCACTGTTCAGGGTAGGGGGGTCACTTACCCTGTCTAGTGGCCAGCAATATCAAAAGCCCTGGCTTCAGCTGGCCATGCTGCTGCTGGCCGCTCCCTACCCCCAGTAATCACTCTGCAGTATCGCTATCCCTCCAATCAACCCCCTTCCTCTCCGTGTTATAGAAAACAATCCCATTCCAGGCACTTCCCATTTTCCCGGCACAACCAAGCCCTGACTTTGTTTTAAGCTAGGATAAGAGGAAGTTGTGTACCACATTGGGTGATCCTACCTCTAATAGTTTAGGAGGTGTTCTTGAACAAATGGACTTGCAGACACACACACACACACACACACACACACACACACACACCCAACCAACCAGAAGATCAGGATCTCTACTGGTAGATCGTGGAGCCATTGACAGGTGATTCTGACAGGTTTGGCTGGGAGACTGTCAAGTACCGGCATTTCACCTGCCCCTTTCAGCATTGCTGTGTTGCTCCTTCCCGCTACCTTGGAGCTGCCCCCCAGCCCTGGGAGCCTCTTGCTTGCTGTGCATGGCACAGGAGGAAGAGGAGGGGCTGCTGATGTCAGGGTGCCCCTCCCACCACCTTGTACCCCATCTCCACAGAGAAGCGGGGGGGCAGGGATGGAGAGAGTTTGCTGGCTGCTTTTGGGAGGGGTGCAGGGCCAGAGTAGAGGCGAACCTGTCGTAGCCCCCTGCACCACCACCCAGAAGCCACCCATGCTAAACAGTGCCCAGCTAGAGCGTGCATTCTGAACCCCAGCCCAAGTCCTGAACCCCTCCTGCACCTCAAACCCCTGCTCTAGTCCTGAGTCCCCCTGCACCCAACATCCCTCCCAGAGCCAGTACCCCACACCTCAACTCTCTATGCCAGGCTCAGCTCAGAGCCCCTCCCACACTCCAAATCCTTTAGCACAAAATCAGAGATCACATCCCCCTCCCTCACACCCCAGCCTGATAAAAGTGAGTGATGGGGGATGGAAGGGGGATGGAGTGAGCAGGGGTGGGGCCTTGGAGAAGGGGTGGGAAGGAGGTTGGGCAAGCGTGTTTGGGTTTGAGGCGGATCCTGGATTGCTCCTTGATTGCACTTAAATTCAAAAAGTGATCTCATGCTTTAAAAGGTTAGAGACCACCGGATTCGAGAAATATTACCACAATTGAAAATGCATGTAGGTTGTGTTGCTGCTGTTATATCGAGTCACATCCTAATCACTGGGTACATATACATTGCCTAGCATTACCGGGTGTGTAGGCCTAGCTAATACAAATAAATACTTGCTATCGAGCCTGTTCTCTTTCGTGAGGGGAATTACATAACCCTTCTTTCCTATTTTGTCAGACATGAAATGATAATTGGGGCATTAGGCAAAATCCAGACCAGATGTAAATTGGTGTGATGCCCCAGACAATGGCTGGACCAAACTGCATTGCGAGGTATACAATGGAGTAAGCTACACAGCTTACTGGCATGTGTTAGAAAATGGGTGTAATTGGTAAAGTAGTGTAACTTGCGCCAATGTGGTATGCAGTGGGTATGCAACATAAGAGCAATTTACTTGCAGAATGGCAAAAAAGGGAAGGAGATAGCCAGTAAACTACTAACACAGTGAAACAACTAAGTGTGCTGCAAAATTATATATTCCTGCTAAAGCATATGAACTGCTCAAAGTATGAGCCCTAGGCTGAGTTATCTTGTCTAGAACAAGATTTAAGCACCTGAGTTAACACATTAGCTAACATTGAAAGAGAGATCCATTCTCCTGACAGACACCTCCTGACCTTCTGAGCACTGGAGCCGGCTAAGGTGGGGGGGACTGTGCTGCCCAGCCTCCCAAACACTGGGGCTGGTCAGGACACAGTGGGGATCATGCTGCCTGGCCTTCTGAGTACTGGGGCTGGCTGGGATCACTCTGCCCAGCCACTTGAGCACCAGGACTGGATCCTGGGTACGCTGTGGCTATGCTCCCCATGGGTGGTGAGGGGGTGCTATGGGTGCTGGTTCAGGCCCACCAGTGCAGGGCAGCATCCAGAGCCCTGACTATAGCTGGCCACTCTCTTAGGCTATGTCTACACAGCAGCATTATTTCGAAATAACATAGTCCACGTCCACACAGCAAGTTGTTATTTTGAAATAATGTCAGGCTGGAGGACTTCTTACTCTGACTCCTGTAGCCCTCATTTCATAAGCGGTAAGAGACACAGAAGGAAGAATGTTCTTTCATCAACTTCTTGCTGTGTAGTAGACTGTGCCAAAAGTCGAGTTAAGCTATTTTGACTTCGGTTACGCAATTGACGTAGCTGAAGTTACGTATCTTAATTCGACTTTTGCCCTGGTTGGTAGATGTACCTTACTAGTGGACCATGCTTGGGGAGCACCGTCTTTCACCTTTGACAATAGAAAAAGGAAAAGTTCATGAGTGAAGTAAGAGCTGTAGATTGTTTTTAGTTGTAACATGTGTCTATGTCAAATAAACGCAACACCTCGAGCCAGAGGGGACAGGTGTAACAAAGTAAAATTCATATTGGACATGCAGTCCCAGAGGATAAACCTGGATTAGAAGGAGACTCGAGAAGGGACCCAAAGGCTGAAATACTGGGAAGTAGGATGCTCATTATAATTTTGGAAGAAACCGAATCTCAAATCATTATAGAGCTTACATTGGTTTTAAAAAGCACCTAAATCATCTGTTCTTGTGAGAGCATAATGATTTCTTCCCCTCCATATCACAGCTCTTCTGTTGAAAGGAGGAATTCCATCATCCAGACTTTAGAAAAGAAGCTGATAGTTCTCAACAGCAGTGGCACAAATTAATGGCAAGAGCTTGAAAAAAAATGCAATAATATGGAAAAGAGCCAATGTTAATATTCTAACAATTTAAATGTGGTACTTGGTGGCAGCACTACTGTTCTGCTTATAAAAAAGGAAACACAAATGAAGACAGTGAATACATTTTAAAATAAACTTTATTAAAATGATAAATATAGAGAAAAGTTTTAATGTTTAGAAATAGCAAAAGTCCTTAGCAAAAAATACAAAATGTACATTCATCTGCATCAAATCATATCAACTTCTGAAAAAACCTTACAAATAGTGGTATTGTTATGTAGTTTATAAAGTTGCTTAAATAGCCCATTAGAGACACAAGATGGGTGGATAATATTGTTTACTGATACAACTTCTCTTGGGGAAAGAGACAAGCTTTTGAGCTACACAGAGCCCTTCATCAGGTCTGCCCTCATTGGATTTATCCCAAAATGACTTTGGCACACAGCGGATGATGATGTCACAGTTTGTGATCTGCAGCATCACACGTGAAAACACTTATTTATATTTTCAAGCAGATTCTAATTTTCCCTTTCAAAGTCTAGTGAAACAGTCTCTGAGTGACCGGGTTTCTAAAGGAGTTACAAATACTATTGTTTCCCCCCTCCTGAATGGTTCATTCTTACCCTTCAACAGTTCAGAGAGGCCAAGTAATCCCATTTTTAGCAGGTGTAGGTGAAATCTAGGTAAATTACATGGAATGTTAAGGAACATTTTATTTAAGATATTCTTTATTAAGGCACCATACTTTTCACTATCTGTAAGGGTATGTCTACACTAGCCACCCTAGTTCAAACTACGGTGGCTAATGTAGTCATTCGAACTTGCAAATGAACTCCTCATTGCAGGAGGAGTAACGGTAGTTCGAATTAGGAGCTTTAATTCAAACTACCTAGCCCATGCGGCGTGTAGCCGCGGGCAGGGAGTTCGAACTACCGGGCATTTAAAAATGGCGGCACCCGGGAACATGCAAATAAAGCCTGAGATATTTTAATCCCAGGCTTCATTTGCAAGTTCGAATGACTACATTAGCCACTCTAGTTCAAAGTAGGGTGGGAGTATAGACATACCCTAACTGTGCTCAAAATAAGACTATATATACAGAGAGAGAAGTGATACAACAGACCAAATGCACTCCTGTCATAGGCTACGTCTACACTGGCATGAATTTCTGGAAATGCTTAAAACAGAATAGTTTTTGTTATAAGTATTTCCGGAAAAGAGCATCTACATTGGTCACAGATGCTTTTCCGGAAAAGCCCTTTTTCCGGAAAAGCATCTGTGGCCAATGTAGACGCGCTTTTCCGGAAAAGAGCCCCGATCGTCATTTTCGCGATTGGGGCTTTTTTCCGGAAAAGACTACTGGGCTGTCTACACTGGCCCTTTTCCGGAACAGTGTTCCGGAATAAGGACTTATGCCCGAGCGGGAGCAGCGTAGCTTTTCCGGAATAGCGGCTGATTTTGTACAGTAGAGCGTCATTGCTTTTCCGGAAATTCAAGGGCCAAGGGCCAATGTAGACAGCTCGCAGCTTATTCCGGAAAAGCGGCTGATTTTCCGGAATAAGTGGCCCAGTGTAGACACAGCCATAATGTTTTCCTGAAGGAGGAATAATTGGCAAATGTGAATTAAGACTATGAGGTTCAGGAGAATAATGCTAGGTGACAGCAAAAGGAAGAGATGGTATACGCCCTTGACTTTACAGTACAGGCAGTCCCCGGGTTACGTACAAGATAGGGACTATAGGTTTGTTCTTAAGTTGAATTTGTATGTAAGTCGGAACTGGTACATATTATAGGGGAAACTCTAGCCAAACATTTCTCCAGAGCTCAGTTTTATACTCCCACACCTCACTTCCCTCAGTCCTTTATTCTCAAGCTGAGGTGTCTGCTGAGAAAAGCTGCTCTGCGTCTCCCTAGCTTCACATCTCCCTGGTCTGCTGGGGGGAAGCAACTAGTGCGGGGTTGCCTCACCCCGTTTGTAAGTAGGGATCTGATGTAAGTCGGATCCATGTAACCCGGGGACTGCCTGTATTGCAATTCAGTAGCCTGAAAAGGTCACTGGGAACCAGGGGCTCCTGTGTGTTAACCCCGGCTCTGCCACACATCACTGTGTGATCACAGAAAGGCACTTAACGCTCTTTGCCACAATCTCCCCACCTATAAAATGGGTGATAAACGTTGTGAAGTTATTTACATAGGGCCAAGCTATTGTCCCTTCTGAGGCTGGTCTCTCAAGTCCCTCCTGATTTTGTTCTTTTTCGTTAGGTAAATATTCCCCCTCCCCTCCCCCATCCTCTAAAAGAGTCTTAATATGGATTTTTTTCTCATCATGATTATTGATGAATGTGGCACCAACCTCCTGGGTAGGTACTCGCATGGTCAGCCTGATCACTGTGGACACGCTGCTTTTTTCAATGTTTTAGCTCAAGCAGAGCTGGCATGTGTCTGTCTACCTGTGCTAGGATTCACATCTCCTAGCCACTGTGTTGCCACATGCTATTTTGTGATGTATGCATTCCTTGCACACTGAAAACTATCATGGAAGGGAATGGAGTTCTGGCTGTAAAAGAAATACAGAAGTGAGCCCTCCCTGCATATTGATTTAATATGTGACGAGAATGTGGACTCTCACTACTGCGATAGGTAAGAAGCCACTTAGAGCGCACAGGTTCACAACAGAACAGGAAAAAATGGACTACTTAATGTGCATCAACTGGATAAAGACACATCACCTGATTCTCCTCTCCCACTGCTAGTCAGGGATTTACCTCTGACCATAAGCAGGTAGCAGCGAGAGGAAAATCAGGCATGTAGTGCTTCCTCTCATTGTGATTCAAGTCCATTCTGACAAGGTTGATTGAAATATCTTGTAATCTGTGTAATCCCCGCAGTGTATTTCTTAGCTTATATGGCACAAGCAGGCTTATCATGGCAACAGCAATGGCTGAACCTCCAAATGTTTAATTGTTGTCATCTTTTCTTTTTCCATCCCTTTCTGGTTTTGACTTTTCCTCTTAGCTTAAGTATATATTCCATGATCGAATTATCCAGTGACAGCTGCTTCAAGTGATCATCACATGGCAGCTGTGTTGTTTTTAATACAAATGGCTTGGTGTCTGAGGTTTTGTTCACATTGAATAGCAGATGAAATAATCAATGGCAGAATGAAACCAGTGGCTGCTGCATTTCAGAAAGAAGCTGCCCCTTGATAAGAGAACAGTCTACTGAAAACATCATGAATGTTTTTTCTGTCCAGCTAATGCTATTAAAGACATCATTTTCCTCTTTCCAGGTGATAGCAATTACTACAGGGAGGGGCAACCTAAGCTAGTGAGTGGCTGCATGAGTGGCCCTCCATCTCAGGGAACTGCAGGATTGTCATAACCAAGATGTTCTCCAGGGATAGGGTAGTTTTGCTAACCGCACTTGCATACGTACAATTTGAGGGGTGTGCCAATTGAACTGTAGCAGCACTTTGATTGGATGCAGAAGAAGTGTGTGGCTCTCAATGTTTTGTGCAATCAGCACGCACCTCAATTCACGTGCCCCAAGTGCATGGCACTTTTGTGCTACTGATAGGAAAAAACCTACACAGATGAAACCTAGCAGAATCTGACAAGCCTGTGTGTGGGCTTGTAAACAGAATGTTTCATGGGCCACACACAGAACCCTCATCGGCCGCATGTGGCCCTCAGGCTGCAGGTTGCCCACCGCTGGCCTACTGTGTCTCATGGCTTTGTATTTTCCAGTCCTTGCCTTTGTATCCAATGGTGTCCAATGATGCCCCAGACAGAGGTGACAGTTATAAGAAGCTATTTGCTAGAGGGAGTTAATTCCCAACTTTTGATTAGCTGTTAGCAATATTTTGATTCACCATTATTCACCAATACTAAACTGATTAAGTACTCTCAGCGTATAACACTCTTATTCCAATTTAAGTCGGTAAGTGCTGTCTGCTCCTGTCCAGATTCTGTCAGCTATTTTCCCAATATGTTTTTTCATAACTTTGAGATGATTCTCATGCAGGAGTTTCTGTGTTAAGTATTTCTCTCGTTTGATCTTGCTCTTTGTCTTTTGTGATACATCCGGAATTGCGTATGAAACAATAAACTTCACACAGTATATGATATGCTAGGGAAGGTGAAAATCAAGCATGTCAGTCATGTAGAATAGGATATTATTACTTCTAATGAGGAGCTGACAGCTCATGCTCTCACACAGATGTAATTTTCGAAGTCATGCATGGGAAAAAATAAGCCCCAAAATGGTAACCAATCACAAATCCCACTGATAATCGAACCTGGAGATATTTTGAACAAAAAGAGGTCTCAACCATGCTTGTAGTTGTGTCCATTGCTGCATACTAACTCAAATATTCTAGGCCTCAGAGTGATGGTTGCGGTGACTGTTTGGGTGGTTGTGTTGATTTGTGTTTGGGTTGCAAACATTCTGGGAGAGTTGTATGGATTTGTGCAGGTAGCAATGAGAGGCATGTGCTGTGGTAAGGGGCTGTGGGTATTTGGGATTATTGTGAGAGTTGGTTCTGTTTCTGTGGATTGTTGTGCTGATTTGTGTCAAGAGGAAGTGTGCTCAGAGAGTGGGCTTGATTTGTGCGGGTGATAAATAAGGGTGTCTGCTGTGATGTGGCAATGGGCCGCGTAATCCACCATCTGTGAGGTCTCCCTCATAAAACCAATGAAACTGTTGCATGCAAATTAGGGGCAAAGTTAGGGTGGTGGATGGTTGAGTTATCTCTACTATCCCAATGGTTGAGGCCTCATGACATGGCACACATACATGCCTTACTATAGTTGTACACTGCACAGGTATAATTCGTAACGTTAAAATAGCTGAGTACTTAAAAACTGGATTGTAACAGACCACAAAACCAATGATGATTCAACCTGGTAATATTCTGAACATAAAGAACCCCTATAGCAAGCTAATAGCTGCTTCCTGTGCTTCATGCACAAATATAATAGTCTTCATAGTGACACACAGAGTGACTTTCTTGCAATCTCGTTACATAGATGAAGCAAAATGCAGGACAATGTAGCACTTTAAAGACTAACAAGATGGTTTATTAGATGATGAGCTTTCGTGGGCCAGACCCACTTCTCCTTCTGTTCTGCAATGTGATTTGTCCTTTTCATATTTGTTCTTTTTTTTAATTGTATCCTTTGGTATATATGGTTGTGACTACTTTCTTCCACTATTTGATCTGAGGAAGTGGGTCTGGCCCACGAAAGCTCATCATCTAATAAACCATCTTGTTAGTCTTTAAAGTGCTACATTGTCCTGCATTTTGCTTCAACTACCCCAGACTAACACGGCTACATTTCTATCACTATGTTACATAGATGAAATGTTACATTATCTTTAGCAAGGCTCCACAAACTATAGAATCTACTCACCCGTGGTGAGTAGATTTCAGCCGCGTGCCCTGTTTACCAGCAGCGCGCGCATGCGCAATGTGGCTCTTACGCATACGCAGTGCAGGGCTGGTAAGCGGCTTTCGCCGCTGTTTGTCAAGCCCTGATCTTTAGGGTACATTTGTATTGTGTACCACACTAGCTAATTGTCCTTGTGAATACAGAACTCTGGGAAGGAACAGTGTCCTGAGATACATTAGGGCTATGTCTACACTGGCCCCAAATTCCGGAAAAGTCATGCAAAGCAGGTAAGTCAGAATAGGGAAATCCACGGGGGATTTAAATATCCCCCGCGGATTTAAATAAACATGTCCGCCGCTTTTTTTCCGGCTTGGGGAAAAGCCGGAAAAAAGCATCTAGGCTGGCGCAATCCTCCAGAATAAAGCCCTTTTCCGGAGGATCTCTTATTCCTACTTAAAAGTAGGCCAGTGTAGACGTAGCCTAGCTGTCTGAAAATAAAGGAACTACTGATTTGTAATATTGGCTTTGACAGCAACTTTTCCCATAGCCTTGGGAAACTTGTTATCTGCTGACTTCCTGTCTGGGACTGACCTCTCTCCCCACCTTTCTTCCCAAGGGGTGTGTCTAGACTACATGCCTCCTTCGACGGAGGCATGTAGATTAGCCAGATCGGTAGAGGGAAATGAAGCCGCGATTAAAATAATCGCGGCTTTATTTAAATTTAAATGGCTGGCCCGCTCCTGC